TGATGAAACCAGATTTAAATAATACCTATCCACAAATCCAGCCCTACAGAAAGTACGAGAAGGAAAACTTCAACTAAAGGAAGCTAGCTACATCTACAAAAATGCAGGAAATAGATAATCTTACACCAGCAAAACCCAAGAAAGGGAAACATACACACACTACCACCACCACCACCCAAACCAAAAAATAACAGGAATTAACATCACTGGTCATTAACATCTCTTAATATTAGTGGACTCAATTTGCCAATAAAAAGACACAGGCTAACAGAATGGATATGAAAACAGGGTCTATCCTTCTCCTGCATACAAGAAACACACCTCAACTTCAAAGACAGACATCACCTCAAGGAAAAGGGTTGGGGAAGATTTTCTAATCAAATGGACGTAAAAAGCAAGCCAGTGTAGCTGTCCTAATATCTAACAAATTTGACTTCAAAAATTAATCAAAAGGGATGGAGAAGGACATTTCATATTCATCACAGGAAAAATTCATCAAGATGAAGTCTCAGTTCCAAACATCTATGCCCCCAATACAAGGGCACCTACATATGTAAAAGAAACATTACTAAAGCTTAAACCACATATCAACAAACCTCACACATTAATAGTGGGAGACTTTAACCCATGCCTATTTATTAGAATCTGTCCACAATGAGTTTCCTACTTATAAAATCCAAATGAAAAATGTTCATTTACACATGGACAAACTGGATCTTTAGTCCAAGAATCAGACTCAGGACTCCCATCTTGAGCTCCATTAATACCAGCTGCATAACCATGGGGAAGACAACTCATTTCTTAGAATCCAATGTCATAATTTAAAAAATGGTAGAGATGTGTATAATTGACCAAGGGAGGTGGTGGAGTGGAGAGATATATGGCGCCCATTCCTACTTTGATGAGATCATTTGTGCTTTTTATCTAAGTATTAGGCATTGATCTTGGTTTTTTGAGAAAAGATAAGACCCTTTGTTTTGTTTTGTTTTTCGAGACAAGGTTTCAATGTGTAGCTTTAGAGCCTGTCTTGGATCTCGCTCTACAGTCCAGGCTGGCCTCGAACTCACAGAGGCCTGCCTCTGCCTTCCAAGTGCTGGGATTAAAGGTGTGCACCATCACCACCACCTGGCAACACCATTTTTCAAATGTCAAAAATTATTGACTTAGATCCTAAATGTCTTCTGCCTTCCACTGTGGCATTCTTTGACCTGTTTCCTATGATTTTCCTATCTGCTGTTCCTATCTTTCAAAAACTATTCAAATTATGCCCAGCTTAGAATGGTGTCATCTCTAAGTGGACATGAGAAAGAGCAGAAGTCTTGGAAAGATGATGATAAAGTTTCTCAGGTAGATTCAGGCACACAAATGCAGCATGCAAAGGGCTTTTCAAGCCTGGATTTGTGCACCCATCCACCATTCTGATGCCTACTTGGTACTCTCCATGAGTGAGGTCTGTGGCATCTGTCTGAATCATTCTTCCATTAGTCTATATGTTCAGCAGGTAGACTAGATCCATCATCCTGAGTTTTCCTCATCCTTTTGTTTACAGCCAAAATTAACAGCCACACAGTGGAAGGAAAATTCCCCCCAGAAGACATAAGACCTACTCATCTCGTCAGTATCCGAGTCTTAGCGTGGGTAAGCCTGACCCCGCACTCACGTACTCACTGGAGGCAGCTTCTGTTGGCTGAGGAATCATGTCCTTCCAAAATTCACATGATGGAATCTAATTGCCATCAGCACAGGGAGGTCAGGTCTTTAGGAAATAATTAGGTTCTGAGGGGAGAGCCATTGCCGGTACGACTCTCACCCTTATGAAGAGGCTTTAGGAACATTCCTTTGCTCTTTCACCATCTGAAACCACAGCAAGAAGATGTCATCTAGGAAAGCAGAAAGCTGGGGCTGGTTCAGCTGATGTGAGCACTGGCTGCCCTTCCAGAAGACCCGGGTTTGATTACCAGAACCCACATGGTAGTTTGCAACTGACTGAAACTCCAGTTCCTGGGGATCTGAGGCCTTTTCCTGTCCTCCACAGGCACTGCGTATGTGTGGTGCACATACGTGCATACATGCATACACACCAACTTTGAAGCACTGGAACAGGCATGTATCACCATATCTGAGCCACAGCCACCAAGTTTCAAGCATAAGTGATAACATGTTTAGATTTTACTAGGGCAATCTTAACTGAGGGGGTTAGAAACAACACCCCCACCTAAGAAGAGAAGTCTCCCTGTGCCTTGAACTGGTCAGGACACACTTACAGCAGCAGCTAAGTCAAAGGGCAGGCTTCAATGCAGCAAGCAAAACTCCGCATTGTCTTTTCCTGACCTCCGGTGAATTAAAATTCTGGATCCAGACCTTGGACCACTTGTTGTAACCTGATTAGTGGCTCCCCCTGATATCCCCTCACAGCTGGAGGGACTTGCTGCATCCACCCTGTGGCAGCAATCAGAACCTATCTCACCCAAGTTCCACAGGACACCTGTGTGATTGCACCCTGCTCCCGCTGAGCACAGCCTGCTTGTCTAGACCTCCTTCCCACCTGCCCGAGTTGTCTGAGCACCCCAGTGTGTGTATGCTCAGGGTCTTGGCCTCCCAATCTGTTCTGTCTGAAATCAGCCAAGCCCTCGTTCTGGCTCCATGTCAAACCTCTCCTAGCTAAAATTGTAATGACATTGCCAACAACCATGAATCAACTCAATAGCCATCTGCAATCTGTAGTCCCAGATACATCCCAAACTGGCTCCCCGGGGAAAGAAAATGGAGGAAGCTTGGACCCCAAACCCTTTGCTTATGACTTGAAGTCTCCTCTGGCACCTCTGGCCCATAAGCTCCTCTGCTTCTGCCCAACAAACAAAGGCACCATCTGCTGACTCATGGAGAGCCAGCGGCAGGAAGTCATCCTCTTGGCTGAGAGTCATAGCACTGTGTAATTTTGGGAAGCACTCTCCTCTCATCTGTACTTGGAGCTAATACTGTTGGAACGGTCGATGCTTATGCTGGAAAGTTAGGGCCGCGCCTGTTTACTAGGAAGAAAGTCCCTCTGTCATAGCCGGTCACAAACTCACCTGCAGAGCAGAGAAGGATGCAAAGCTGGCCACCATCTCCATCAGCTTGTCCTTCTACCTGGACAGAGTTAAAGCCAGGTAGATTCCAGAAGCCTTTCTTGCCCTTACTTCCCCCAACCGTCCCATTTTCCCTTCCTTCCTCACCCGGAGATCCCTGGCTTCATGTTCACAGACAATTACACCATCAATCCATGATGGCCATTTTCCTGGAATCATCCCAGCAGGATGTGTGACTGCAGGTTCTTTCGTTCTGTGATGACTGTGACAGGTCGGCAAGTGGTAAGCAATCTCAGATCACTTTGTCAGTCTCCACGGCACCATGAACCATCTCCCGCTGGCACCTCAGCCCCCCATCTGCTTCCATTTTCTTCTTGTCTTGTCAATCACACGCCTCCATTTCATCAACCCCACGTGGCTCAAACTGACCAAGGAGACCCAACCTATCTTAAAGAACTCTTAAAGTTCTAGGAGAAAAAGAAAAGCTGTTTTCGCGTAGCATGGCGGGAGCCATGTGAGCCCGCGCTGATGTTACATAGAAAACAAAGCAAGTCTTAACAGGAAGCCAACAGAAAAAAAGCTAGAGGAGACTCTGGGAAGTGCCTGGGGTTTGGTCCCCTAAAAACCTTAAGAGGAGGGTTTTAAAAGAGGGGTAGGGGTAGTAGTAGTGTGCTTGGGTGATTAGGAAGGTAAAGCAGGTCAAGGAACTAAGTTTAGCATGTCTGTGGTCCCAGGTGGCACCGCTTTAGCCTGACCCACAGAGAACCCCACAGTGGAGACTGTACTTCAAGTTGATCAGTTAGTAGCTTGGACAACTCCTGGAATAAAGAGACGTGTAACTTCCCAGGCAGATGAGAATGCCACAGACTGTCCCCACTCAACACTGTCCCTCTGTAGGAAATGGAGTGCTATCTGTGAATAGTGACTCTGGGCAGGACATCAAGATAGCCTCTTCAAGGGGAACCAGAAAGTCCCAGAGAAAATAGCAGTGTTAGGAGCATGAACCGTGGTTCACATCACTTCTCCTCTCTCAGTGGCTGTATTTTTCTGGGACAGTACTTATTATCACTTTAAGTGGTGGGGTTGTGGCGGAGAATGGCTCCCATAGGCTCATATATTTGAATACTGGTGCACAGTTGGTGGAACTCTTTGGGAAGGATTAGGAGGTATGACCTTGTTGGAACAGGTGTGTCACTGATAGTGGGTTTGGGGTTTAAAAAAAAAAAAAACTTGTGCCATTTTGAGTAAGCTCGCTTTCTGCCTTGTGGTTGTGTCTCGGGGTGCAAGCTCTCTGTTACTGCTCTTATTCCATAGCTGCCGCCATGTTTCCCACCATGATGGTCATGGATTCTAACCTTCTGAAAGTAAGTCCCAAATTAAATGCTTTCTTTCATAAATTGTCTTGGTCATGGTGTCTTAGCATAGCAAGAGAAGTAACTAAGACATTGGGTCACATTTCTTCCCTTGACAAGTAGTGATGCTAGCAATACCTTTGGAATGAGAAATGCACATAAAGCATGCAGACAGAGGCTGCAGCAGGCATAGGGAAGGCAGCCTGAAGCCAGTTCCCAGGACATTCGATGAACTTATAATGACCTCAGAGCAAGTCCCTGTCCGCCTGTGCATGGAAAACGAGGGAAAAAATAAACAAGAAGTCTCATGCATTACTGGGTCTTGATATTACCGGGAACAAATGTCCCAAGAGAGGCACTTTTGAGAGACACTTAGCCGGGGAGGGGGAGGGGTGTAATGAGAGAAGGATTGTTCCTTGGACATTCCCTGGAGTGGTTTGTGAGGGTTCCTTTTTAAAGGCAAACACTGTAAAGCGTCCCCCTAAGGAGTGGCCTGCTGTACCAAGGCTCTGAAAACATGTAGATGGAATTTCTGGGATTGACGATATAGCAATCAGCTGTTGTTCTTTTTTCCAAGCAGGAGCCCCAAGGGGGTTGGCAGCAATCTCTTCTCAGAACCATGGATAAGCAGAGAGCAGCTGAAAGCGACCCTCCTGCCAGCCCCAGAGGTACAGATGACCAGGCAAGTGTCACAGCAGACTGCACAAAGGGACACAACTGGCATTTAAGCTAACGATGCTTTCCAGCTCAGATCCCGTGCCCTTTGACCCCACACTATATTCCAATAGGTCAGAGCAGACCTGCTTGACTTCCCTAATGCGCATTATCCTCCCTGGTCAATAAAATTCCCTTCTGCCTCTGCGCTGACAATAGATGTGAAGGTCGGCTCATCCCCTCCAGCTGCAGCAGTATCCGAGCTGTCAGTGGGAATTTAAATTAAGGATATAGGTAATCATTTCACTGCTTTTAGGCAAAAGAGGAAGGATTTTATTGCTTTGGCTGTAATCACTTTCTCCTAAGAAAAGTGAAAAGATCTCTAGTCCCCCTGGGGGAACAATATTTTAAAGTGCCCAAGGGGGGCTAAAAACACATGGCAGCCTTAAGTGGTAAATTTGCTGAGAAGAAATTCAAGCCATAATGCATTTCTGGTTGCAAGCCACCTTCTTCCTCAGCCTTCGCTGTCACACAGCATCGTGTTTGGGGGACAGGAGGGAATCATGGTTGCAATGAAAAGACTTCTAAGCAGAAGGAAAGGAGTCACAGGAAAAGGAAGGGGCAAGGCTATGAAGGGATGATGCTGAAGAGCTGGGAGGGAAGAGAAGCCACAGTGAGACCTGAGGGCCTGGTCCCAGGCTGACTCTGCAGCTAGCCAGAGGGGCGACGACCCCAGTGGGTCCGTTAAACTCTGGGACTCAGTGTTCTTATCAACAAAGTGATCTGAGGCCGACGTTCTCCAAGATCCTGGCTGCTTCCAGCGTTCTCTGAGCTCAAACATAATTTCGGCCCATAGCTGTTTGGGGGCGGGGCACCAGGGCTATTCCAGAGAGAGAAGATGAGAGGCACTGTTTGCCCTCAGCATTCCTAAATGTCTAAGGCTGAGCTGCATTGAAGTGCCACAGAATGTCCTGTCCAGCCTGCTTATTTTGAAGACGGAAAAAACTCAAGTGGGTTTTTTACTTGGCTTTTAAAATAAAACAAAATTTCCTTTTAGGTCCCATTTTATTTTCTCCCTCTCTTCCTACCTCCTTCCCCCCGCCCCCTTGACCTCTGTTGTCAACAAGAGACCTTCAAATTCAGCACAAATATTTTGAGATGACAGGGAGAAATGGCGCTCAGAGTCTATGTCATACTGCACCGATGGCGTCTGATATCCTGTTCTTGGAAGCTGAGCAGGACTGGGCCTGGTTAGTACTTGGATGGGAGAAATGGCTCTCAGAGTAGCTATTGTGCTTTTTAAATGCAGCCAGAACATTCACATTGTTTACTTTTTACAGGGAATTTCCAGGATAATTAAAGATTTAATTGCAAAATTCAAAACAAAGCAATGAATGCAAATAAGAGAATTGTGAGTTGATCCTCATTGTGAGAATTTCAGAACATGGCATCGAAGGCAGAAATGCAAACAAATAGATCAATTAATTGTAGTAACCTAAAAATCCAGCAATCATCACACCCAACCTACCTAAGATTTATGGTGGAAATGTACCATGCAGGTGGGTGGTAGACTAGCCTCATTAGTCTACAAAGGTTCCTTACACTTTCGTCAAAAATATGAGCATACGTGAAGAGAAATGAAGTATTTGAACAGGTAAGTCACAGAAGAAATAAAAACATCCCCCCCAATAACTACCAACTAAATATGAATTTAAAAGGCTGTCAGATGTGTGTTGCTCACGAGGTTGACAAGATTTGTGTTCTCTAGTGACTAGAGCAGCCTAGGTCAATGTGCTTAAATACTTCCGGGGAACCATGGGCAGGTAGAGCTAGCAGCATGGCACTGCACACACGTTGAGTATTTGCGTTGACCTGGATGCCTACCTGAGGAATTCCCTGTCCGGAATGTGTTTCAAGGAAGTGGTTAGGAGGCCTTACTAAAGCCCCTTTCCACACCTACTGCCTGTTCGCTGGTCACATCTGAGCCACGGATGACAGGACCCCCGCTGTGCAGACCCCTAGTGATATCACAGAGCATATATACGGCTTCCCCTCCATCCTGCATCCTTCAATCACCAACAGCATTGTGGGAAACAAACTCCATGCTATCCATCTGCTCAGGCTGCTATAACAAAAGTACCACATGCTTGGGGCCTTAAAACGACGGAAAGGACTTTCTCACAATTTCGAAGGCCAGAAATCTAAAACCAAGGTATAAGGCACCTTCCTATCTTGTGGATTGTTACCCCCTCACTTCTTTGCATAGAGAAAGAGAGAGATCACTGGTGACTTTTCCCTTAAGGACACACCTATCAGAATCACATCCCCACAACCTCATTTAAAAACACTATAAATACAGTAAGTCCCAATACATCCACTTTGAAAGCTGGAGTTTGAGCATATGAATTTGGGAGAAAAACATTCTGTCCGTGATACTCCGCTTGCACAAGATTTGTTGCTTCTTCAGTTGCTCACTTAGCCAATACTGATGAGGCAACTATCATCACAGAGCAATGCACTGTGTCTGGGATGTGTGTTTAGTACACTTATCTTTTCCCATGACCTACGAGGGTTCATGAATCGGTAAAAAAAAACAAAAAAAAAAAACTGCTCATGAATGTTTTCAGCATCTTTAAACATAGTTGCCCGAACTCGGAAGCAGCCAAGATGTCCTCTTTATTTAATGAATAAATGAACCAGAGCAGCCTCATGATGGAGTATTATTTAGTGTTAAAAAAAAGTGAGCTAACATAGTTACATATTACCAAATGAAGTAGTGCAATCTGAAAAGCTATATACTATATGATTCTAACTATATAACATCCTGGAAGTGGTAATGCTGGAGAGACAGAGAAAAGACAAATCATAGCTGGGAGCTAGTGGAGAGAAGAGATAGAGAGCTGGAGCCAGCGAGGGGTACTTTTAGGACAATGACACTGTTCTGTGTGACAGTGGCGTGCTGAATACTTGTCATAATGCATTTGTCAAAACCAATTGAATGTGTAACACGGAGTGAGCTCTCATGTAAACTCTGAATGCTAATTAATGACCCATCAGTTTGTCAGTTTGCAAGAAATACACCACACTCATGCAAGGTGTAAAGAGGAGGAGGGGGAAGGAGAAGTGTGAGACCTCCCTTTGGGAACTTTGTACTTCCTTTTCATTCTTCAGCAAACTTCAAACTACTCAAACATAATACTTACTGACTTATTTTAAGTCTCCATGTAGAAGAGCAGAAGACACTGTTCTCCACATCCCTCTAATCCTCTGTGCCCCAGGCACTGAAAATGCTTGAGAAGCTCTGGATGTGGGTGTTTTAACTTTGGACCCTTGCCCTGGCCACTCCTGTGGAGCTGACTTTCCTCTGTGCAGGCCATACACACTGGACACAGCTTGGGCACAGCTCCCCATGAGAACCCCTCTTAAACGTTGTTCTGTAGAGAGCTTCAGCTAGTCACCACGTTTATCCCAGGAGAGGTCAGAGCAGGAGTGAAGAAAAGATTGACTGGAGCTCCATGTGATACAGCAAGTCAGCCCAGGATGCACCTTGGGAAGAGGAGGACCTGCCTTCCTTACGTCATCTTTGTTCTCTAACTCTCCCAGAGGCAGGAGACTTGGTCACTTACAGAATGACTTCACTCATAGGTCAGTGGCAGGAGACTTGGTCACTTACAGAATGACTTCACTCATAGGACAGTGGCAGGGAGGCTGAGAAAGAGCTCTGAGGAGTCCTAGCTGTTCTTGAGAATTTCTTTTCCAATTCATGCATAGAGACCCCTTGTCTTTCAGAAGAGAAAAATGTGAGTCTTTGCTTTGCTGCTTTATGAATGCAGCCAAGAATCTGTTTCATAACACGAAGATCATAATTTCAAAGCCCCTTCTATTCCAGCCCTGCACCAGCCACTCTCCCCAGTCATCAGACCTTCACATGGGCATGGCAAGGCGCATTTCCTCATGCCCAGTTGGCAGCTTGGCTGACCCTGGCTCCTCACCCCATCCTCCTGTTCCACTGCTGGCTCTCTGGCCACTGTGTGCAGAAACATTTCATCTGGCCTGGAAGGGCATGGCACGAGGGGACCATCCTGCTTCCACTTTTCTCTTGGTCACACAGATCCCGGCATTCATTGCCAATACCATTCTGTCCCTTAGGGGAAGTGACAAACCCACTTTGAAAAAGACCCAGCGATGTTCTCACATACAACAGCCAAACTGGCTTCTGGTTATTAGAAACTTATTGCAGACATTGGAACTTCAAAAAAAAAAAAATACTGTAATTGCAAGGATCTACCTTCATGTCTGAGCTAAGTCCTAGGCCTTTGTCATGTCCTACAACTAGATTCATAGTATTTAGGAGTCACTCCAATTGGAGAATGATATGATGGGGAGTCGTATACGATGTCAGAGGCCAAGCCAACATGGCATTTCTCTAGCAGTCCCAGAGAGAACTACTCTGTACCTTTTCAAGGGTAAAATTACTGCACTGTAGCAATAATGAATATTTTTCTAAGTAGCCTTTGTTAATTAACCTCCCAAGCACCTATGTTCCTCCAAGTAACAATTCAGGCACATGTATGCTAGCTAGCAAGACTCGCACAGTCTATCATCTACCCTATCCAGGCTCCATGTAACCAATGGGAGCTGGATTTCTAGTTCATTAACAGTATTAAATCAACTCAGGTACGCTTGAGCATTGAGTACTTCCGTATCTACAAACTCATAACCCAAATTGCAAATGTATCCTTTGAACAAGGGCTGCAGAGCCAGGGCCAACAGAATGTGTCACTTTGGATCGACATGGCCTGTCTCCACAATCCAGACCGATCTGCCTCAAGCAGCTGAGCGGTCAGAGAGGACTGTGTGAGGAAGGCTCTCTGTTTTGTTGCGAAGATGCAGGGCTGTGAATCAGACCCTTCTTCCCTCATGTCTAGAAAACAGTATTCTAAGACTGGTGTATTCAAATAGCTAAAATACTTCCTTTCCAAGTTGTTCGTGAGAAGAAAGAGTTACGTTAGGAAAGCTCTAGAGGCTGCTAAGTTAGGGCAGCTATGTGAAGGTTTGCACAGCGAGGAAGGAAGTGCCTTCCTCTCCAGAACACAGATGCATCCAGCCCTACTGATTAAGTTGGCCCTCACTGGCTCTGGCCACAACTTTTATAGTCACATCTCTGGCTCCATTAACCACTGTCTATGTGTCCAGTTGTGTTAGCAGGTGACAGACTGAATGGGAGACGAGATTCCGCAGCCAGTAAAAGTCTTCTGTTCTGCCAAATCTCCTGGTTCCATGGGTCTGGCTTTTTTGTGCCAATCAGTTTTATTGACATAATTATTTGTCCCAGTTTCAGTATGTAATTGGATATTTTTTTTTCTCTGTGACTGTGAGTCCGTTATTTCTCTTTGATGTTAATTGTATGAAAAGGTTGAGAGGATAACTCTGTTTTCTCCTCTATCTAAAAGGAAGCAGGAATGAAAGCCACAACGAGGAAAAGGAAAGAATCTGATTAGTCAAATGTGGTTCGGGAAGATAAATGAGTGTCATCGATTGTGTGAGAGGATTCAATTCCTGGGTGATCCCAGCACTCAGAATCGTAGTTCAGCACAGGCCGTGTTCAGTGTCCCACTGTAGATCAGCGTTGATCTCAAACAATACACTGGTCAGAGTGCCTGGTGGGGAGGGGGACTCAATGTCCAACCTTGCTTTACGCAAGGACTGTCCTCCTTTGTGTTCACTGATGGCCATTTCAGATGTGAGAAACATCCAGATGCAGAGTGCTGAGATTACTACATGTACAGTTTTGCCCTCTGCATCCTGATGAGTCTGCACCACTGAGAACTAGCATTTCAGAGGCCAAAGAGAAAACCCTGGAAAAGACTCCACTACTTTCATTTTCATTTGTTTGGCATAAAAATATTCCACAACCCCGAGTTCACAACTCCTTCTGGCTATTAAATATTTGCTATGAATCTCTTGTTATTCAGCTATGAATGCTTTCCCCCTGAAGTCTGCCCATTATTACCTGAAAAAGAATCCTGAAAAAAATAGTTCTACCCATCCCAGGCTATTAAGGCAAGAACTTCTCAATTAGCAAAACAGTGATTAGAAATTGAAGAATAGTTCCATGGAATTCTTCTTAAAATACCTAAACTCAAGTCATAACAGGAAGTTAAACAGGAGTTCATTAGTGTCTCTGTGCTGTAGATGGAGTGATAATTAGTATATCATACAGAGACCTGGATGGTCACACATAACCACA